GGTGATCCTTCCCCTCTACTACACTGATGAAACATCTGCAGTGATGGGTCCAGGTCTGGGCTCCTTAGTACAAGAGAAATAGGGACATACAAGAGAAAATGCAGTAAAGGGGCCACAAAGATGAACAGGTGTTTGAAGCATCTGACATAGGAGGAGAGGCTGAGTGAGTTGAGACTGTTCAGCATGGAGCAGAGAAGTCTCAGGAGGGATCAAAGGAGTGATCAATCTGTGTATACATATATATATATATATATGAATGATGGGTGGAGGTCAAGGAGACAAAGAATCTTCTCAGTGATGCCCAGTGAAAGGATAAGTGAGAATGTGGACAAAAATTAAACGTATGAAATTCTGTTTAAATATAAGAAAAAGCTTTTTTACCTTGTGGGCAGTCAAACACTGGAACAGGCTGCCCTGAGAGGTTGTGCAGTCTCCATCCTTCATGATATTCAGCACGAATCTGGACATGGTACTGGGCAACCTGTTGTAGCTAACCCTGCTTAGAGTAGAAGACACTGGAGGAACAATCTTCCAGAGATGTCTTGCCACCTCAACTACCATGTGATTTTGTGGTTACTATCTGTTAAATACATTGTTATGATGATGCTGGAATAAGGTTGGAAAAAAAATCTGTCCTAAGATAATTGTTTTCAAAGAGATCAAATGTTTCTCAAAGAAAAATACAACTAATACTTTAACAATGAAGGCTAAAGAAAACTTTCTGGAATAAGTCAAATTGAACAGGGGAATTTTAGCAGTGATTAGAACAGTAGAACCTTACACCTATATAAACCAAATTATTACATATTTATATACAGATTAGAGATCTAAAAGTAGTCAAAGGCCAATTAAATTTCTTATTTCCCTATCTGGATTCCTGCAACCTCACTAATATCCAGCATGTGTCCAAGTGTATTACAGAAATTTCATATGAAGAAATGAAAAAAAACACTGACCCTACCATACCATATTGGAGTCCAGACTGGGAGTCTGATATTTTCAGTTTAATCAGTTTTCGCCCAAAAGGACAATAGAACTCTTAACCACTTTACTAAAATGTAGCTCCTTGTAAGTTAGGATGCTAAAATAAGTTTCCCATAAAACTAAGAACCAGTTTCTGAAGGAATCGTGTTTAAAAAAAACAACCAACCAAACAAAACCCACCTACACCCCAAAATCACCCCCTAAAACCCACCAAACACTCTTTTCCTGAATAAGAGAAAGATCATCAATTTGATTAAAGAGGTCAAGTTTGGGAAAAAAACCCTGTTGAGCTGCTTTTCACAACAGTAAATGATTAAAGGTATTATTAAGCAGGTGAAAAGCAGAGTATATTTCCACAATAAATTTACAGGTAGGGGAACATGAATTGTTGAAAGCAAATTATTAGTATTGAAAAGTTAAGGCCTGTAGACACTGCAATTAAAAAGGGTGTAGAGGTGGGAGAGGAGGATGGTAAATTAACTTAAAACCCAAACCAAAGAAGCCACATGAGAGCTGCTGAACATCACAGCACTTGTAAAGTCTGCCAGACTTCTCAGGCACATGCTTTTGCCTTTTTCTTATATGAAAGACTTCACACAAAGTCTGTTCTTCCCATTGGCTGATAAAGGTGATTTTGCTGGGAACTTTTATACAGAAGAACGGGGGGGGTTGGGGGGGAGGGGAAAGAACCCACTGTTAAATTTCTATTTAGAATGAGACATTCAAAAGAAAAGGTCACAGATGACACCTGACATTTGGGCTGAGTAAAGGGAAATCAGGCAAGAAAGTGGACTTTTGCAAGACTCATTGGCACAAAGGAGCAACTGAAGTTGTGTGAACAGATGAGATAAAACAGATAAGAAAAGGTCTGCAAAAAATCGAAGAGGGTATAATCTCCTGAGCTCTGAAAAACTAAAAAACCAATCCTCAAGAAAAGAGAGCCCATAAAACCAGGAGTGAAAACTCAGGAAGGTGTCATTGTGAAAGTACAAGATTTTTCAGAAGAAGCACATGGTATCAAAGATGCGAGGAAGAATGAGTCTGGAGAAGATTCTTGGTGTATGGGAATGCTGAGAGTGTATTACCAGAGCGTGTTGGTGGAATGCCAATAGGTCCAGGACAGACAGGATAAAAGGAACATGAAGGAATTTTGTTGGATAAGTTTCTAAGGAATTTAGAAATTACAGGAAGATGGTATGTGTCTATTAATGTTACATACAAGTTATAAAGGTCTATTCTGGGCAGAAGAGAGAGTAGAAAGACTTAAACAAAAACATGAGCACAACAGTCATGCAGAAGAGTTTCACACTGAGCATGTTTATATCTAAGGTCTCCTTCCTATACACATTCTAACCACAAGAGGTATGACAAAAAGGCAGAGGAAACTGTGCATAGTGGCAATTATCTTATAACAAGAGCTGGCTTTCAACTCCAAGTTTATAAGTTACCTGATTTTTGAAAGGACAGATTCAGTAATCTTTGGAATAATAAAATTAACTTTTTAGCAGCATTAACTTTGAAAATAACATCCGGCAATGTGCATCAATCGCTTTGCAATGCATGTTAATCCCTGAACATTAAAAAAGATATTTAATACCTTTAAACAAAATGCAAATTCAATTTTCAGTTAATACGAGTGCATACAACATGCCTGCTAACAGTTGTGGTCTAAAGTAAAGAAGAACAAACTACAGTTAAACATTCATAACATAAAGTCAAACATTCTGAAGTTTCAGATACTGAATCAGATGCATAGATTGTACTGGGAAATCTTTTCTAGCAATGATGAGATGATGTTCACCACTGCAGGACCTAGTGAATCACTCCGCTTAGGACAAATCTGAATGTTACTCAAACAGCTAACATAACATGAATTTTCTTTTTATATAACTAAGTAGATTTACATAAAACTAAGATGCTGGAATTGTTAGAAAATATTTTGAATAAATGGTTAAATCCTCTTTTTTATCTCACCATTTTATATAAAACAGTTTATTTGGGAAGGCCCCACAGAAAGACTACTTTCTGTTTCCATGACGCAAACAAGTGTCACCATAGTATAAAGTGATTGTCATGATTTCAAAATTAGTATAAAGGAAAGGGTCAACTAAGTTTCAGGTTTGTGCTTTAAAGAGTATACATCACACAAGACAGCCAAATGTCAATATTCTTAAGCTTATAGCAGTTGAATGGGTATTTACAGGTGTAATGTAGCTCTGCATGTGTGTTCCTCTGTGCAACCGCAAACGTGTTAAAATCTGCTTAGACTTACAATTTGACATGAACTCACTGAAGATCATTTTAATCCATCTTAAAAAAAGCATACAGCTATCAGATGAATAATAGCTGTCATTTTACAATTAACCGATGATATACCTATTTCAAGTCATCACTGGCCTACTAAATGTGATTTCTCATCGAGTGTATTCTGAAAATTTACATGTCTCATAAGGTAAATCATTAGCCTTTAGAGCACAGATGTTCTGACAATCTATCTTCTACATGACCCCAACTATAATCTTTGAATAATCTACTTGTCTAAAACTTTTGTAAGCATAAGGTTTCCTAAAGTTTAAGGAGAAACTAGATAAAATATGGTTTATTCTTTAACTACGTTACTTCCAGGTGAAGCCAGTAGTTGAAACTGGATGTAAGGAAAAGCTGCAAAATGTACTTGTGTACTTCAAAGCCTTTCTTCAGCCTTCCAGATCAGAATTTCTCAAATATATCTGGGGCAAAAATTGAAGGATACAAAGAATTCCCTTGATTATTCAGGGCTTGAAAAGTAAGACAGAAGTGAAATTATTTACAAAATGTACACAAGAGGCAGACATTGTTAGCATAAATTATGATTTAAGAATATTCAGTAGCACAGGGAAACATAATATTTTCAATTTCTAAGTACAAAAATGTTGTAAAAGAACGCCGTATTACACTTCTCTGTAACTGAAATATAACTACTTTACTGAAAAGCTAATATTTAAAATCAGAAAAAAGTTAATACTAATTGTTCCCCTACTTCAGAAACACATAAGGAGAAAAGGAGTCCTAAGGCCATATCTATGTTGTTTCTGAGATATGTCTATCACAGGGCGAAAAAGTTAAAGTAATCCCATAATAGTACCAGATCAGAAAATTAAACCACCATGAAATTCTTACAGAATTTATTTCTCCTCCACAGAAAATTTTTTCTAGACCGTTCCTTTGATGCTGGAAAATTGCCAACCTAAAGTCTTAGTTCAGTATACCTTTGATAAACAATATAGGTCAGTGCTGATCGCGTAACCTCCATCCCTTCCCACGTTGTGTTTGCTTTGGGCTAACAGCATTTAGCAAAACATGACGGCACTATGCAGTCAAAATTATTTTATGGCAGTTGTGAATCATTAGCATAACTGAATCTTTTTTCCAAGTTAATGAAAGAATCCTTGCATTGTTTCCTTTCAGAAACAAATACATGTGAAAACACATTTCTTACACTTTAGGATACTCTCTTAAAGACATAATAGATCTTACAATGTCATATAATGTAATGAATATTAGATGACACAAAAATAGTCATGCATCTCAATATGCAAAATAATTTCCAAATATGTATGCTCTACTTAGAGAAAAACATGAACAAATGCATTCATTCATTTCTCAACCACATTGAAATCATATTCACCTAAGGAATGTTTTAAAAGGTTTGAAAATGTACCTCTGAAAATCCAGAAACTAAATAAATTAAGTCATGGTACATTAAAACAAATTTAATTTTGAGGACAAGGTACTCTGTCTCCTAGATTCCATGTTTAGAGAATGTGGAACAACATCTAAATTAAAAAAAAAAAAAATTAAAAATAAGAACTTAAAAAAAATTATTTATCCTTCTATGCCATATATTCATTTATTCTTTGGAAAGCTAGGAGTTTTCTTTACTGAAAAGTGTACATGAGAGAGAGTTCATGTAGGTGAAACTCTCAAAAAACTTATCAGTGTTGTTTCTTATCAATGTTGTTGTAATTCAAACAAACCTTCCTTCTTGTCTTCTGCAGCAATCTTCACTTTTGTGTCTGTTATATCTTTGAAAGAGGCCAGAAAGAGTACTACATCTCCTTTTTCATTCTTTATAGGAACAATGTCCAGTAGGCACCAGAATGAAGACCCTGCAAGGATAAAGAATGAATTTAATTCAAACAGCTGTGTTTTAGCAGTGGGGGGAGGGGAGGGGAAAAGTGAACGACTAAATCTACAACTAATGTAATTCTAAAAAAAAAAAAAAAAAAAAATCTTATTTAGGAGGTCAGTAGTTAGAGAATCACAGATGTTCAGCTCGCATAAATCTCTGCATCATTGGTTGAAGCTCAGTAATACTACTTTCTGTAGAAGCAAGGCATTAATTTGAATACAAAATTTATCTACAGGGATCGTTAATAGTTTAATGAAGCTGCATACTCCTCTGAAGCCATGCTTTCCTTTGAACTCTCAACTGATGTTGCTTATTTTACTGCAATAACTTTCACTTTGTTAACTTGACATCTGAAAGTTCCATGTTTACTATAAGATCATTCTACCTTAATCATCTGACTTGATACTCATTAAACTCTCTTGACAGAAGACCTGATAGAGAATCATTCCACTAATTCAAAGATATTTAAACTAATCAGATATAAGACTTAGAATAGGAACAGAATTAATTCCTTGTATTTTACAGATTATGAGATTTATAATACCACACATCATCTGTAAAATTAGTATCACCTATTTTCCTTACTGTTTGTAATGTTCACCTTGTTAAAACTTAGACAACACTGAGTTTGGCAATATTTTTAATTCCTGTCAACCTTTCTCTACCCACACCTGCTACATAATTATGCTGCTTAAAATAAATTGTTATTGTCACTGATTGTCACATGTCATGTTTGAAAGGTATGTTGTTCAATTCCAATGACACCATTCATAAGTTTGCTATTAATGCAAACCACTTCGAACAGAAGAAAATGAATGCCTAACTCAGCCTGGCACTAGGCTTTTCAGTTTTTGGTTATCAACATTAACTACCTCCACCTACCATCAGCCTAATATTATAAATAGGATATATAAGTACTGCTAACAGCAATATTTGTTTTAGTTTTAAATTTCTTTTCTGTACATGTCTTTACACTTCTATAATCAAGTCCCTTCACAGCATACCATTTTTGGCATCATTTACAAGCACAAGTCTACTTTCATTCATAAAAGGAAACAGGAGTAGTTCCCTGGACCACTACTGTCACATCTGACTACTGTCAAATGATCATCTGAGCTTTGGATGGGTCCTCTGGATGAGCAAGCAGATAGTCACTCCCCACTCTGTTCTCTGTCTTCTGGACTTGGCAGTCATAAAAAAGAACTGGATGCATCAAGATCAAAATTCAGCTTTCTAGTTTAAATTTTCAACTAGATGTCCCCTGCTTGCCTGTTGAAGGTTATAGGCAAGCATGGGAAGTGAAACAGCAGCTTTCCTTTTGAATAGCCAGCACTGTTGAAGGTCCAGAAGTATGCTTCAAAGGAAATTAATTCATCTAGCCCTCTCCATCCTGATCAAACTTTCCAAGAGGCAGACAGGCAAGCTTTGAGAGTAACATTACTAGTCCAGTCATCAGGTAAGGCTTCCACTTAAGGTATTTAAAGAAGGGACAAGGAGAATTGGGATCAGCAGGTTAGAAGACTGGAGAAGAAGAGAAAAATCATGGGAAGAAGCAGACTGGCATTTAAATATTCTCATTTTGATGCTGAAGACAGACCAAACAAAGAATCTCTCTTAAAAGAAAGTATAACTAAAGAAGTCAGTAGCAAGATATTTCTACTGTTCCTTTTCCCAATTTAATTTTCTGTCCTTATTTAATTTTTGTACAGATTTGACTCTTTTATCAAAACTTCTGGGAAAATCTGCTCAGTGCTGTTACTATCAGAAATGTTATAGAGAGCCACAACTATCAATATGAAGCGGTGCTCTGAAAGGGAAGAGGAATTAAGCATGTTTACTTTCCTGCTTAAAACCAGAATAACAGATCTCTATAGAATATCATTACAGCTCTGAAACTGGCCAAATTCTTTCTTGTACAATTACAATCTGTCTGGCTACATTCTAACAGTACTTTCAGTTTGACGAGAAGTCACACTCAGCTCCTTCTAAACAAAACCAAAAGCTGCAATCTCTTTTAAACAGATGTTTTAACCTCCTCCAGAAGTAGAAGCGTATCATCTTACTCTTGTCAATTGTTTCATGTCTTTTCTACACACACACAAATTAGCCATTAACGTTGCTCCTGGAAGAAAGTTGTAGACTTCAGCTGTGTTAAAACAAATATAACTCAGTTATGCTAAGAAGCGCACCTGGTAATATTACTTGAAATAACATATTTTTAGTTTTAGGGAAGTTATTGTATCATTGTTCATTTGCAGCTTTGGGTTTCTCACTGCAAGAAAGACACTGAGGTGCTGGAGTGTGTCCAGAGAAGGTCAGTGAAGCTGGTGAAGGGTCTGGAGCACAGGTCCCATGTGGAGCGGCTGAGGGGACTGGGGATGTTCAGCCTGGAGAAGAGGAGACTCAGGGGAGACCTTATCGCTCTCTAAAACTACCTGAAAGAAGGTTGCAGCGAGTTGGGGGTTCTCTTGTCCCAACTGACAAGCAAGAGGACAAGAGGAAACCACCTAAAGTTTCACCAGGAAAGGTTTACATTGGATATCAGGGAAAACTTCTTTGGTTAAAAGGCTGTCAGACATCAGAATGCGCTGCCCAGAGAGGTGGTTGAGTCACCATTCCTGGAGGTATTTAAAAGAGATGTGGATGAGGCACTCAGGGACATGGTTTAGTGGTGGATTTGGCAGTGCTGGGTTAACGGTTGGACTTGATGTTCTTAAAGGTCTTTTCCAACATAAAAGATTCTATGATTATATGATTCTAATATGAAGCACTCCTCAGGACTAGAGGAGATGATTCAGTGTAGGTCAGGACTAAGTCAATATGTGCTTGCACTCTGTCAAGAACAGAAGTGTGTTATCTTTCATTATTGATAAGCATTCTTCAGAAAATATACTGATCCAATGCAATCCATTACATAGGTTTTACTGAAAGCCAGCATCATATAAATCTATAAGCCAAAAGAAGAACTTTCTACTCATCAAAAAAGTAATGCTGTCTTTTGTTACAGTTCTTTTGAGTGCAATTATCTATGAGACAGAAATTTCTTCCCTGCCTCAGATGGTACATACAAAGGTCTTCTGTATTGTCAAGAGTTTTCTATCAAAGAAATTTCTTTTGGAGGTTTATTTATATACAGACTCTCTTTATTGCTCCAAGCCACCACTCTCAGAGAAGGAGTCTAATCTTTCTCTTGCATTATGAACTAAAAGTTCAAAATATATTTTAATATCCTCAAGGCTTATATAAGCACATCACAGAAAGAGAAGAGACCAAATGAAGCATAATCTTATCACAAAGCTATTTGGCTATAGTTCACCTTTTATATATACATAAAAAAGAACACTTTATGGTCACTCTCTCAACCAGTCTTTCTACCTTTCCTCACTCTGACAGCTAAGAAGTCTGTCCTCAGACTGAAATCAAAACAACAGTCAACAGACCAAGGAATTTAGAAAGGAGGTTTTATACAAAACCCTGCCATTAGAGGAAAATAGACTTTAGAGACAAGCATTCCTTTCACCAGAAAATAAGGCCTGCTTAAACCAAGGAACAGATTCAGATCATTAGTCCTATTGGTGAGCTATGTGTACTTAATTTACAATGATACTCACTCAATCATTATTCATACCTACCCTAGGACAATGCTCAGTGAAATACTCAGAATGGAAATCTTTGCTGGATATTTGGGTAATTCAGACATATCACAATATAGGAATGGAATGGGATTATTGACCACCAGCTTAATTCTTTAATAAAATAATTAAATTCTGCATCCATCTCCTCAAAATTTTAGTTGAACTTTTCTGCAGTAATTATCTTCTTAGCCACATGTATTCCTATGAGTTACTACAATGAATAATACTGATGCAAAGCTATGTTCCCTTTTTGCTCTTAGCAGCCTGTGAGTAGATGTGCCCAGACAGACAACTTATGTCTTCCTTTTTTTGCCATGTGTCAACCATCACAGCTTATATCTACTTCCACACCTTCACTTCCTCAGGACTTCACTTGTAACACCACTCTCCAGACAGAGACAATTTGTATTGCCCCTTCCATCACTCAGGGGCAGGAAATAATAAGTGAACAAATTCCTGTCCTTCATCTTCGCCTCTCTGTAGTAAGAGGAAGAGGGATTAAGATGCAGACCTCTTTCATGAAGCTCTACAACTGCACATAACATACAAGATTACCAAATAAAATGTTTCATAGTCTGAGAAACCAAGTAGTTGAGGAAAAAAATAGAAAGTGTAAATGCATATTAGATATACAACCTTGTGACACAAACCAATCACTCTAAGTAATAATTATCATGATATATATGGATAAGAGGGCAGAATTAGGCTGCACAAGAGATCATAATCTGGAACATTTCTTCACATTTCAGTACTTGATTTAATGAACTAAATGTTCTTTTAAAGAGATGCAAATGAAACCTTTAAAAAACTTTTTTAAAGCACACCACCCTATTTCCAGGGATTTGAAACGTAAAAGACAAAGCTAAAAATATTTTCATATAGATAACTGTAATACCTTGTCAATAAGGTTGATGATCAGTCTTCAGCATTATGATACAGTCTCATTTACAGAGTTACTAATTGTTAGCTAAGTAAATCTGATGCTGAATACTTGATATTGCCAGAAAAGTTTTAGTCTGGTCATTTCCACTTTTTCGCTGCTGAAAGTGTGGACCCCAAGACTGACAGATCAGGTTGCCAGAGATTTTGCCTGGGGAAACCAAACTGCCTCTTTTATTAGCTTATCCAAAGATTTCTGGTGTCACTGATAACATTTGGGTTTGAATGTTCTGTGGTTTTGACAAGGTGTCAACATTTTGTTGAGGAGAGCAAAGTGCAAAGAAGAAAACCATGCTTTAAAAAAATGCAACTGAACTAATTGGAAAGGGAATGGAGCTGGAAGAAAAAGTAGCTATAATAGAATACTTTCTCTCTTGTCAATATCACATCTTTGACAATGATG